TATTTTAATTCAACCCCATTTACCAACAAGGTATTTTAATTAGGAAATTCGGCGATAAGACATTTTAATTGAATAAAATTACCATTTAGGTCCTTTTTCTCGTCTGCGGCCACTTTTCCGGCGAGAACTCATCACGTGCGTTGTCCGTGGGGGCTTAATCTGTGTTTAAGATGCTGATGTGGCTCTGTTTTCTGACGTGGCAGGGAATTAACCCTCTAAAAACCAACTTCACGCCCAAGGTGCTCTCCACCTACCTCCGCGTCCAGCAGAACGTGATCGTCGCTCATTTGGGTCGCTGGGTCGAGATGTCCGGCCCCGACGAGCCCATCAAGCTCAGAAACGTCGAAACTTTCGAGACTGCTCAAGCTCAAAACCCCATCAGGCAGAGACCCAGAGAGATGATTCGACGAAACATTGAAACTTACAAGATTCCAGCAAGAGCCAATGCTGCTTGGTACCTGGCCGTACAACTTGTTACCAGCCAAATTGACATTGACCCAAGCTCTCACATTGTGAGAAAAACCTAGTGGGTATCTCTCCAATGAGCCCATTGGAGCTCAGATCAATGTGGGTGAGATTTGGGAGCTGAGTTAAGTCTGGAATCAAGAATCCAGTGTTGGGAGCTGGGTTAAGTCTGGAATCAAGAATCCAGTGAAGTTGTTGTTGGAAAGGGAGAGTTTTTGAAGAGATTGGAGGTTGAGGAGGCTGCGGCTGAGCTTGCCGGAGAGGCCGAGGGAGGAGAGAGAGATTTCGACGACTCGGCGAGACTCAGGGTGGCATTTGATGTGGGCCCAGTTGCAGGGGTCGTCGGAGTCTTGGGTCCATGAGGAGAGAGCTGAGGTTGGGTCTAAAAGAGAGGACTTGAAGACAATGAGGCCGAGGAGGTCAGGGTTTAATGGGGGAGGGGGTTTAGAGAGAGAAAGGAGAGCCACATCAGCATCTTAAACACAGATTAAGCCCCCACGTGCAACGCACGTGATGAGTTCTCGCCGGAAAAGTGGCCGCCGACGAGAAAAAGGACCTAAATGGTAATTTTATTCAATTAAAATGTCTTATCGCCGAATTTCCTAATTAAAATACCTTGTTGGCAAATGGGGTTGAATTAAAATACCAATATGAGTATTTAGCCCAAGTATATATATCAAAGTTAAAAAATGTGTAAATTTTAGGGTATTAAAGTTTCAAACGTAACTTTGGGATATCAAAATAAAAAATATTGTAAGCTTTGGGTATCAAAGTGTCATATAAGAAGTTTAGAGTATCAAATTAAGAAAGATATGAACTTTAGAGCACCAATGTGCAAATTAGTAGCCATTTATAATTCGATAATCATATCCCTTTCTAACCCAGCACACGTTTTCTACGCTCATTAATTAACTCACAGACTAGTTTTATTCTAATCCTGGCATAAGCAATCGCAACCTAATTAAGTAAGCAGTGACGGATTTGAAATGAAATGATGGGTGGGTGATTATCAAAGTCAATCAGCCCACTAATAGGGGGTTAACCATTAATGAATTGGCTTGACTTTTTTCTGTAAATGGAATTTGGGTTAATTATATAGTTAGGTAATCTTTTGACATCTCCGACCGAATTGCACTATTTGACCCGTTGTCATTCCTACTCTTTATTCTATGTAGCTTTACCTAGATTCTTTCACTGGGAGATTGTATAGATATAGATTCGTCTGTGTTACATCCTGCTTTTTTTATATTTCTTTTGTTTCTATCAGCTAAAGATGTCCACAAAGTTTTAGTTGTTCATTCGTTTAGGGGGCATTTTCCGAAAGAACCCTTCTCCCTACGTGATTCTAGGGGATTGGGATCCTCTTCTAATGGGAGGCTTCCTAAGATTTCTTAATGAGATCATGGCCTTTGATTTATCAATCAAAGGTCATGATCTCCTCATGAGGAAAAGTAGGAGGGAGAGGAGAATGAGATCTTGGCCTTTGATTGATAAATCAAAGGTCAAGATCTTTTTATTAGGAGATATTAGGAGCACTAGGCTAAATACCCATATTGGTATTTTAATTCAACCCCATTTGCCAACAAGGTATTTTAATTAGGAAATTCGGCGATAAGACATTTTAATTGAATAAAATTACCATTTAGGTCCTTTTTCTCGTCGGCGGCCACTTTTCCGGCGAGAACTCATCACGTGCGTTGTCCGTGGGGGCTTAATCTGTGTTTAAGATGCTGATGTGGCTCTGTTTTCTGACGTGGCAGGGAATTAACCCTCTAAAAACCAACTTCACGCCCAAGGTGCTCTCCACCTACCTCCGCGTCCAGCAGAACGTGATCGTCGCTCATTTGGGTCGCTGGGTCGAGATGTCCGGCCCCGACGAGCCCATCAAGCTCAGAAACGTCGAAACTTTCGAGACTGCTCAAGCTCAAAACCCCATCAGGCAGAGACCCAGAGAGATGATTCGACGAAACATTGAAACTTACAAGATTCCAGCAAGAGCCAATGCTGCTTGGTACCTGGCCGTACAACTTGTTACCAGCCAAATTGACATTGACCCAAGCTCTCACATTGTGAGAAAAACCTAGTGGGTATCTCTCCAATGAGCCCATTGGAGCTCAGATCAATGTGGGTGAGATTTGGGAGCTGAGTTAAGTCTGGAATCAAGAATCCAGTGAAGTTATTGTCGGAAAGGGAGAGTTTCTGAAGGGATTGGAGGTTGAGGAGGCTGCGACTGAGCTTGCCGGAGAGGCCGAGGGAGGAGAGAGAGATTGAGAGAAAGGAGAGCCACATCAGCTCTTAAACACAGATTAAGCCCCCACGTGCAACGCACGTGATGAGTTCTCGCCGGAAAAGTGGCCGCCGACGAGAAAAAGGACTTAAATGGTAATTTTATTCAATTAAAATGTCTTATCGCCGAATTTCCTAATTAAAATACCTTGTTGGCAAATGGGATTGAATTAAAATACCAATATGGGTATTTAGCCTATATATATATATATATATATATGAATATAAATATTTATATTATTATTTAAAAATAGGGTTTCAGTCTCCGTTGTCAGAGCACAACGAAATTTTATCTTCAGCACCGTTTGGACATTGTAAGATCAATGGCGCAAACCTCACGTCCATCTGATCAACAAAAAAGTATTAAAAAAATACAGCAGATTTTAACAAACTCGTGACACTGAGGTTGAAACTGCGAATCAATTTCAAATCGATTCCAATCTGATCCATTCATCCCAGAATGATCACCAGTCATAACAAAACTTTATTATTATTATTTGCAATAATATTTTCAAAATTTTACGGTTTTACAATGCCAATTGTCATGTCATGACAGCGATGACGTCTTTGTAAGGTAGGGTGATTGTGACACCCTCATTTTTGTCCCACATGGACTAGTATGAAGAATTGTTAGTGGTTTAAATAGAAAAAAGCCCAAGGTCTGAGAACAACTAGTGCTAGTATTTTGGCGGTGGATTTAAGCCAACATCGAGTTGCTCTTAGTGGGTCCCACGACTTGCATGCGCCAACGGGCCCATGGGCTCGGGGCGTGACATCTTGGCTCTAGAAAATTGATAGTCCCTATTCCTGATAAGTAAACAAAACCTTACTGATTTGAAATTCATGGGTACGATGCAACTAATTGTTAATTCTCTGGGTCTCGAAACCATAACCCCTTAATTTATGAAGCTTAAGCTAGAGGGTTCTGGTTGGGTAACTGAATAGACCTTGATATAACAAAATATAAGTAATTGTTAGCTTGTTAGGTAAACCCTGTTAGCTTCCTTATTAAGTTTGCACATAAAATACTATGGATCTATTTGTTGAGAAGGTGGCTGGACCACAAATATAGATGATCAAGTTTTATTTATAGCTAAACAAATAGAATATAATTATATTATCTTCTAGGATGGAGCTCAACAAACATCTCTAACTTTTATTGTATAGTAACTACTCTAGTTTTTCTCTTCAAGCTAGAGCATATACATATTAATTCCTCGAAGTTTGTTAATTAATGCAAAAATTTATGTTTGATACTGATTTAGTGGCAGTATCATTAATCTGACTATCAGAAAACAAAAGAGGCAACAATGTCGTTGGTTTGAACCATTTCATGAATTACATGGCATTGGCCGCTCTATGTTTGGTTTCCTTATGAAAGATTGGATTATTAATGGTATAAACTGCGCCTTGATTATCATAACGCATTTCCAAAGGTGGAGTTAGGAGCACATCCATCTCCTAAAGAACAAATACTTCACATCATCCTCACAAAAATTATGAGCCGTGATATAATACTCATACACAAGAGCTCACAGTAATAATCATTTCCTTACTTCATCATTTCAACATATTTCTCGAACAAAAACACAATACACACTAATAGAATGGTCATGATGATCCCTATCCAATCAAAATCAGAATACGCAACTGAGACCCTTTCAGGAGCAATTTTAAGATATTACAACACGTAACAACAGAGACCCTTTCAGGAGCAATTTAAGATATCACAACACATGACAGTCTGATCTCCAGTGAAGCTATGTAGAGTTTGCATATATCTTCTCAGAAGGCCAACATAACTGTAAGTCACCTTCAGGTATATGAGTTTACCAATCAATCTGCAATATTTTCCAGGATCAGTTAAGAGTACCCCAGTCCAAATCCTATTTAAAGTGAATAATAGGATTCAAATATAACTAAGCTGAAACCCTAGCATGTATTCTCAACCCAGCAGTCAGTGAAATACTTCTTCTGAGATGTATATGCAATCTCTATCCCAAGAAAATGTTTCAGAACTCCAGGATCTTTCTATTGCCTTTTGGTGTAGGTTAAGATGTATCACAAATTTTCTCCATATGAGTTCTATCCTCAGATTGGTCTTGCTTCAGTATAATGGGTTCCAGTCATCTATATTGAATAGCTGATCTGTTCCTTTCTAATGCTGGTGTTTGTTTTGTTTTGCAACTTAGTTTTAGAAGTGAAATCTTTTGTTGATCCTAACTTATTGTGCAACAAGCTTCTCGCAGGTTGCATCTTGTTTTCTCATCTCCTAGGCATTTAATGGTTGCTGGAGGATGCATTATTCTAATGGAGCTAGCATACAATATGGATTTCTCTTTAGTTGGTTTTCTAATTTGTTCTTCAATTTTGGGATTTGGTATGTTTCGGCCATGTTTCTTTTTTTAATTCCAATAACATCATTTAATATAATGTTTATCAAGTAGCATCAACTATCTGTAAATTGACTCAGAACCCATGTCAATTGCATTAGAGAAAAGATATGATATTCTATCGATTATTAATTACCTTTGCGATATCAGAATCTTTTGTTACTAGAGAAAAGCTCTTAGTTAATCAGTTTTCCTCAAGGAATTTATATGTTAAAAATTCCATGTCATTAAGAAAATACTGTTATTTTGATATTTGAGATTGTATAGATCACTCAAAAGAGCCAAATACTTGAAATTGGATCCTTCCTCACAATAAAGGTTGAGACAACTTAATATTGTTGATACAGTTCTGGATAAAAGATTACCCCTCTTAATTCATTTTGTTTTCTTATCCTTCGCGTCCCATAAAATTCACATTCTAATTTTCTTTTCTTTTCTTTTCTTTTTAGATAACATGGGGATGTAGTTTTGATGCAATTCTGGAGAATAAGTCTATAATTTAATTCGGATGTATGGAGATTAAGTCTGTAATTTAACTATAAGTCTGTACTCATAGACTTTCTATTGTTTCCACTTTAGTACATAGTCCTTTTTTATGAATAGTGAAGTATAACCATCTGCTTATCATCCATTTTTATACATTATTCTGTCATTGACTGGTATCTCTTAGCTAATATTTCTAAAACTATGATTCAGTTAAAAGGTTGGAGTTAACATGCATGTTTCTTTCATGATACAAGATTGGATCATCAAATGTTCTGCAGTGAGCTCATTAAGTTATAGGGCAATGGTGCCCAACGATTTGACATTTTATTGAGATCTAGAAGGTGTTTTCTTTTTTATCTTTCCCTTCTTGAACATGGTTATTTTGAGTTTATTAGCAGAAAATGTTAGCATGTACGCTAGATAATGTTAAATGAAGAATCAGGAACAACTTGCTCATCTTGGTGCATCATGAATTAAATCTTTTGAGTAAATTCTAAATTTATTCCATCCAACCATGTAACAATTTCCCGTGCATATTGCATTATATGCCCATGTCACATGTCGAATTAGTGTGCTTGAACTTTTGATTGTCTCATAATTAAATTCATCTTAATTATCTTTTTACTAGTTTATCCTGGAGCATGACATTTGTAATCATGATACATAATCTAGGTATATTTCAAGCAACTTCCTTGCAACAGTCCAAAAGGGGTCCTTTAGATAATCATGAAATGTCAGATGGAGCTTCTCAAGATCAATTACAGATGTCGCCACTTCCAACATGATGTAAGTGCATCAATCTGTTGACATCATTCTTCACTTGCCGAATAAATCAGTGAAAAATAAATTTGCAGAAAAAAAATTATCTGCCACTATCATCTTTCTTTTGCACAAGGTGATAATAATAGGCAATTCCGAGGAAAGACAGCTTCATACATCTTGATATTTTGGCAAGTCAACACTGTAGACCTCTTCTACCAAGCTTCATTATAAGTACTTTGCCCTTCTGGCCATCTACATATGTTTTTTGTATTTTGTTTGAGGCCTATCCCATATTTCATTTGCTTTTAAAGTTACCAGTTTTTTGTTCTGGTATTTCTTATTATTCAGCAGTTTATTTACTGCACATCAAGTGTCCAATTTGACATCTACCAGTAGTTCTGTATCTAAGACTTGCTTGGCTGAGATATTATTCTTCTAAGGGATTATATTTGAAAAGTGCTACTCATATGAAAACATGCATCATTTAACCATCATTTTCTTGATCTCATAAATTCATGTACCAGGAAGCTTGCACAGGGCTCGATACCTGTAACTAGATGGTCAGTCCCACAGCTGGACAGGCTTCAGTCTTTCGGTGCACATTATATGACATCGCTTTTTTCCCATAACCAAAGTTTATCAGAAAATTTGTTATGTGTACAGCAGCTAACCTCAAGAAAGAAGAAAACAACTGTAGCAATTTCAATAATCTTATTACCATTGTACTTGGCGTGTTCATGTATATTTCTGCCACCCCTTCAATATATCTGTTGCATGTTCCTACATATTTGATCGGTCTGTAGCCTAGTCTATGACTTGAAAATTGTTTGGTTTTATTATAGTAATGATATAATGTATGTTGCCTAGTGCTCTGTACAATCATTTTGCAATTTAAAAGCCATGGCGCAAGAGAAGCTTATCCAGATGCACGTACCATTCGACCTTCCAAAATTGGCAACCTTACCAAAATGACTGCTCTTATCTTTTTTTTTTTGAAGAAAAAACAGGGCCAGAAGCCCTGTTCATGTATATATATATATGCAAAAAGGATGATAAGAAATTACATACACAAAATTATGGAAGGTGAAGGAAGGAGGGACCAATGGAAGATGTGAACTACTGGGAGAGGGCCTTGCCGTCACCGATAAGGAGACATCTTCATTGTTCCCATCCACTTACCAAAAGCAAAACAACAACAAAAGAAAAACAAAATAAATACAGCTATAAGTATAGACACAAGGGAAAGGAACAGGCAACAAAAGAGGGTTTGCTATAGAACAAAAGGAGCCCTGGGGGAGGGTTTCGGCTTGCTAGCTGCAGGAAGGACCTACCGAGGAACTGATTTATCATGGGAGCCTATTGTTGTCTTCACTTGATTCCAGAGTCTCTGGGAGGCCTGAGGATTGGAGGATATTCTTCAGTTTGATGGCCTTCTTGGAGGTAGATGCACCTGTCCAGAAAATAAGAAAGTTTACCGATTTGGGGAGAGCTGATCAAGTTGGAGAAGGTACAATCATTCCTAGCTTGCCAAATGACCCAACAGATGGTTGGAAAACATATGCTCCAGAGATGACGAGCTGAAGATTGGATGGATAAGTCATGGCAGATGGCTAAACATTGGCTGATGCTGGCTGGGAGAGGGCCTATATTGATCCTAGATAGCATTGGAGCCCAAATCTGATTGGCTAAAATGCATTCAAGGAATAAATGCTCATGGGATTCCTGGGAGCTGCAGAAGGAGCAAGATGAGTCCCCTAGCCATCATTGGTTAACTAATCTGTCCCTGGTCCCTAGTCTTAAGTCTGGATAAGCTTAAGAGCCAGAAGAAGATTTGCACTTTACTTGGAAGCAAATTGTTCCAAATGATAGCATGGAATTGGTTGCGCAGTCCTCCGTCTGCAAGAATTGAGTATAGAGATTTGACAGAAAAAATGTTAGAGGGTGATATAGACCAAGATGGTTTGTCCGCTGCAGCGGAGGGTTGCATATTGCAGGAAGCCAGAAATAGCAGAAGATTCTGCACCTGGTTGCTATCACATTCATTCGCAGGGCGCCTGATGATGGGTTTCCAAATCCATGCATCCCCCTGAAATCTACCTTGGGAACAATTGGGGACTTGCTTGGAGAAGGCAAGAAGGTATGCCTTCGAAAAGAGGCTGGCTAGGGAATTAGGACCCGACCATTTGTCTGCCTAGAAGAGGATCTTAGAATCATTACCAAGAAATCAATTGACGAAGCCAGAGAAGAATTTATAACAGGATTAGACATCTCTCCAGAATTTGGAACAATGGACAGGGGTTGGTTTATGGAGATTGGATGGATATATAGATTGGAGCACTCTACCAATATGATTGTTGCTGTCGTAGAATTTCTAAATCCATTTGGAGACGAGGGAAATATTGAATAGATGAAGGTTGAGGACTCCCAGCCCTCCACAAAGTTTAGGAGAGCAAACAATCCCTCATCTGACTGGATGATTGCCAACGAAGTGGTCAGCAGCTCCTCCCCAAAGGAAGTTACGCCTAATTTTGTCAATTTTATTAATGAGCCATGAGGGGAGCTTGAAGAAGAACATGTAGTATTAGGGGTGTGCAACGGTCGGTTCGGTTCGGTTTTTACCAAAATTTGAACAACCGAACCGAACCGCTTATAATTCAAAACCGAACTGAACTGTTGCAAGTCGGTTCGGTGCTGTTCGGTTCAATTTGTTCGGTTCTAACTTCATCAAACTTCTTATCAAACAACAAACTGTGTTAAAGAAAAAAAAAATATCAACAAAGTAGGAGATTATGAAGCATTAAACATTGATATAATGATATTGTTTTCAACCCATAATGATTCAGAAAATGAATTTAGGGTTTGAGTCTTTGACTATTTGGGGACGGATCGAGTAGGGTTTAAGATCAGAATGGGTAGTATTGCACTATATTCGGTCGGTTCGGGTCGGTTTGGGGTGAAACCGAACCGATCCGAACCGCCCTACTCATAAAACCGATTTTTTCGGATCGGTTCGGGTCGGTTCGGTTGGTTTTTTCGGTTTGGACCGAACCATGCTCAGCCCTATGTAGTATAGTGGAATGGAGGAGAGGACTGATTTAAGAAGCACCAATCTACCACCAATCGACAGGTGTTTGCTTTTCCAAAGGGAGAGTTTACGATTGAGAGAGTCTAGCAGAGGTTGCCAGTCGGTTCTAGATAAAGAGCCTCTTTTCAAAGGGAGACCGATGTATTTAAAAGGTGGGGATGAAAATGAGCAGTTGAGGGTGTTGGCCAATAGTGGCCCCTTAGAAGAAGATTTGCCACTATAGAAGAGGTTGGATTAAGAGAAGTTGATGGCAAGACCAGAGACATCTTCAAATAGATAAAGGATTGACTTGAGGTTGGTGATGTCAGAGGAGTTAGCTTTACAGAATATAAGAGTATCATCTGCGAATTACAATGATTTGATGTTATTGAGCATACCCTTGAGGTGGAGCTCAGAAAGGTCTTCATGGTTGCAGCTATTGTGAAGCATTCTACGGAGGACATCGACAACGAGGAGGAAAAGCATAGGAGACAGAGGATCTCCTTGCTTGAGGCCTCTATGACAAGAGAAGGGGTTGGTGGGAGTGCCATTAACTAGCACTGAAGATGAGGAATATAACAGGATGGATTTTATCCATGATAACCATTTGCTACCAAAACCCCTAGCCTTGAGGAGAGTGAAAAGAAAGTCCCAGCTGACACAGTCAAAAGCTTTGCAGAAGTCAATTTTAATGATACATACTTCTAATTTCTTGGAGAAGCATTGGTGAATCATCTCATGACCCAGAACAATGGAATCCATGGTGGATTTATCCTTCTGGAAGGCCGATTGGGAGGGATGAACCAGGGATGACAGGAAATGGCTTAACCTGTTGGCTAGTACCTTGGTGAAAATTTTAAACAGGCCATTGATAAGGCTGATGGGTCTGAAAGTTGATGGGTGATCAGGAGAAAGTGTTTTGGGGATGAAGGATATGAAAGAGTGGTTGATGAGGTGGAGGTTGGAGGGGTCAAGGAAGATATGAGAGAAAAAGGAGATGATGTCTGGCTGGAGGACATCCCAAAATGACTGGTAAAAGAATAAGGGGAAGCCATCTGGCCCAGGAGCTTTGTCTGGGTGAAGACCAAAAACAGCTATCTTGATCTCTTGAACTGAGAAGAGGTTGTCCAGAGAGGAGAGGTCAGAGCTAGGATGAGGGTAGAGGTGTTCCCAGTCTAATTGAAAAGAGGAGGGGGATAGGGATTTGAAATGATTGGAAAAATGATGGAAGAAAGCCAGTTGTTTATCATGTTCTGAGAAGAGAGTAGAGTTGTTGATAGAGAGGAGGGGAATGAAGTTCTTTCTTCTGTGGTGAGATGCTATTTTGTGGAAGAAAGAAGTGTTGGAGTCTCCTTCACGAAGCCATTGAAGCCTAGACCTTTGATTCCAATAGATTTCCTCTTGATTGGCCAAGGAGGAGAGGGATGCTATGAGGGAGGTCCTGAGGGAGATTTCTGAGGGAACCAGGGGTTTGCTGATAGATCCGAAGGTGTGTTTTTTTCCATCTTTTGAGCCTTCGTTTGAGAATTTTAAACTTGTTGAATGACTTTGTTCGGGAAAGACTGAGTTAGTTTTGATCCGGTTTTTCCTATGCGGAAAAAAGGTCCCTGAAATTGGTTTTGTTGTGATCCATTTTTCTCTAGATTGAAATAAAACTAGTTCATCTCAAAACGGGACAGGCTTAATTTTCTAGAGTTTGCCAAACTTATCCTAATGGAGCCGATTGATACCTCAATAAAATGCTGATATCTTAAAGATAAACAAATATTGTTTCTTGTCGTAAGGCATAGGAAGTAATTTTTGCTCTGTTGACATCCTCCTGGTTGGGGAAGGACAGAACATAAAGTTATTAGGGTGTAACTTTCAGTCCATCAATAGCAATGAGCACAATGCTCTCTTGTTATGAGGACGCCAAGGAATTTTGCTTTATTTCTCTGACAAATATCTATATTTGTATTCAAACTGCTGCTTTGGCCCTTCAAACAAAAAGCTTGAACCTCCTTCAAGACTTCAACCATGAGGGAAACAAAACTTTCGTCAATAGCATTTTTTGTAAAGTAGTGCCTAATGCTCACAATGTCCGAGGAAAAACTTATGGATGCAGCGGGATAAAGACCAATGGTCCCAAATTCATTGCCAATATGGGAACCATTTCAGAAGGCATGCGTGTATTGACAACAAGTGGCATATAAGCACGATTTTGAGATGCATCTGCTGATGCTAGATGTGCATGGACGTTCGAGCTACCAGTTTGACATATCAGACATAGCGTGTATCCGCTGTCTCAGCATTGCGAAGAATGTTATGAAGAATTTGTGTGGTACTGAGACCAGAGGCGTTGCTGTTGGGAGATCGTGCATGATGGCATATGGTACTTCTGCGGTTATGTAGCAATGTTGCTGTGTGAGAGTCTATTTTCGCAGAAATCAATTCCAAACACTAGAATACACCGAAAATAAAGAAGAAAAATTATTATTATTAAGACTGATGCATACAACAACTTATCTCAATGAAGCTCAAAGAAAGCCATGAGTGGATCATATACGATTCTTTTTGCATTGACAGCCATAACAAAATCAGCATGTGCGTAGTTATCCTGATACTGAACTGTCATCTTATCACCATCATGAAAATGTAAACTATTCAGCAAACGCGAAACATCATTGTCATCGGAAAGCTTATCTTGACCTCCATAGCTCAGGAAAAGTGGGAGATCGTTAGGGATCTTGCTCATGTTGTACACAGGAGGACTGATTTGGCCATAATGGCTCATGTTTTCATCATTATCATCATAATCATATTTTGTTATAGTACCTCTTCTGATCACTGTTCAATAATAAGACTCATACTGTTATTCATTCACAAAGTTATCACAATAGAATTTATCCAATATTGAACACTTACTCTGCGCTAAGTGAATCATGTTTTTAGTTGATGTTGCCTGAGGCTCGTGATCCAAGAAAACCTCGACCGAAGAGGAGTTAAGACAGCAATTTGGGCCTTTAGTTCAAGGTTTGACAGTGCATCAGTGTATCGTTCGGTCCAGTAATTAAAAATATAAGGTATTTCATGACCAAAAAGTACCTGTCATGGCTGAAATCATATTGTAGCAATCAATTTCAGGATCCATACAAACCGTCTTGAGCAGTTTATCCACAGCTTTGCTGTTATAAATGACCTCAATATCTCAATTTACCATTAGTATGTTGATAATTAAGTGAGTGAGTGAAGTTTAAATATACTCATGAAGTTTTATATATAACGCATGAATGGTTCATTGGATTGCCTGTTTGGATCAAATTTATGAAGGCCAAGCCAGTAAAGATCCTGCAGAAAAGGTATGTCAAGCCATTTGATCTAATTTATGGTGATAGCTGTAATAAGTTAAATTTTTTTGGTTAAACACATGTATTCTGCAAATTTACTTACTTCTGCGACAAAGATTTGAGCAGCAGCTTTTGATATAAGCGATGTAATCTGATTCAGATACGCTATGGGGCAGAGCGCCGATCTCACCATACTCAATAGCTTATGTTGGCTAAATGTGGCAAGGGCAATCAAAGTTCCCTGAAAAAGAAAAAGCATTGAAATTACTTCATCTCAATTCACTGTTTGAAATCTCCAGAGTCTTAGTTTCATACCAAAGAGTGGCCAACATAGTGAATAGTCTGATTTCCAGTACGTTGATATACATAATCAAAACTAGCACGCAGATCATTCGCTGCTAGTTCATCCCATGACCAATCCCAATAGGCCTGCAATACAATTTGGACATCATGAAGTTGTCTGCTAGAATGTAACCTAATGATTCATCAGGTGAATTAAGCAGCCATGTGATCCCGTCCTACAAAATTAAATGTATAGACTTAGAATTATCTTCAGTACTTAAAGTAACTTTAGGGCTTGTTTGGAATTGCACCAAGTGCAGAGAAGTTAATGGAACATAGGATGAGTTAAGAGAAGGTAAGGGAACATGTAAAATTTATTTGGGAAATTTGTAAGGGGAATCAAAGAGAACTTATTTCACCCTATTTGGAAAGTTTAATAAAGTGAAGGGAAGAGAAGAAAATATATATAAACTTACGTAAATAACCTTACATGTTATTAAGCTTTTATTATTAGAAGTTAGATAGGCGGTAAAATGGTTTCTCCATAATTATTTTTTTATTAGAAGTTCCCTTAACTTCCCTTCATCTTAGTTACACCCCAAATTGGGG